TTACCATTATTCAATTCTTTATTTTTTATTATTAATGAATTATTATTCCCTAGTGCTCTTATCCATTTGATAAGGATATCGAAGGATTTTTTAGTGAGATAAATAATGATAATTATAATAATGATGATCCATCTCTTCAATTAACTACAGCTAATGGTAATGATAATGATAATTATAATAATGATGATTCATCCCTTCAATTAATTACAACTAATGGTAATGATAATGATAATGATAATTATAATAACAACAACAATGATAATAATCAGGATAATGGAAATGGTTTGTACAATGTTGCTGATTCACCAGTATCAGCTTCTACAACACCAATAATGACAAGTAATGAAATAACATTATTGCCAGAAACTGCACAAATGGAAGCTCAATCATCATTCATAATAGCTCCGGCGGAGATAAATGACATGGAATTAAATAATTTATTATTACTAAACGATCCAACAACAACCATGAACACAAATATTTTGCAAGATTTTTCAGAATTTGCCGAATTTGCCGAATTATTTAAAGAATTCCCAGGATCATTAGCATCAATGTCAGAAGAAACTGTTGAAAATATTCTAAATGATCAAAGTAACTTTGATTTTTCGTCATTTTTATTAAATAACAATAATATCACTGATGGTGGTGGCGTTGATGGTGGCGGTATAATTGCTGAAGTTGCTGTTGCTAACGATGATGTCATTACTGCTGATAGCATTGTTAATGGTGGTGGTGAAGTTGCTGATCAAAGTCAAGATTTAATTGCTCAACTTGGATTTTTCTTTCAATGAATGTCTAATTAGTTAATCACGAAAAATTAATGTTTATTTATTTATTAACAACTAAAGAGAAATCATAAATTATAATTAAATATTAATTAAATATTAAATTGAAAATGTGTATGTATGTATGTATTAATTATTATTATTATTATTTATTACTATTATTATTATTATTCCGTCATAACAAGATCCCTAATTTTTTAATGATCGTTTTAGAAAAATAATAAAGCGTTAATACTAATGAAACTGACAACAATCATAACAAATCCAACTTGTTTATTAGTAGATGAGGCACTACTATTAGTTGGTGTTGTTGATGGTGACGTCGATTGACTGTATAACAACATATAAATTATTAGTTATAAAAAAATTAAAGCTTTTTTTTCTTATAAAAAGTAATAATAATAATAATAATAATAACAAAGGATTACTAACGTATCTGTTCCAGGTGCTTGTTGTGTTGCCGCTGATGATGTTGCTGACGATGATGCTCCTGTTGATTGTGCTATTTCAGGTGCTGTTACCTGGAAGAATTTAAATATTAATTAAATAGAAAGATCAAATTAGTAACCAAAAAAGTGGTAAATCGCACAATTTATAAATGTAATATATTGTAAAAAATCATTACCGTGGGACGAGCTGGAATCCTAAAAAAAATAAAGAATTGAATAATGGTAAAGATAAATATTTGAATAAAGGTAAAGAGAGGCGAGGATGACGAGATTGATTAAATTAACGGGTAAAATCGTCAGAATAATTGATTAATAAGTGAGAACAATATAAGTTTCTTTACTTACTGAGCACAAGCAAATGTTGCAAAGACCGAGAAAATAACGAAAAGAATCACCAATTGTTGATTGAACTTCATTTTTATTAAAAAAGAATTTTTTTTTTTTGTTAAAATATTGAAACGCTTTGCTTTTTAAAAAAAATTTTTTTTTTGGGATACAAAATAAAATTTTATTAATGTCTCTATTTATATTAAAATTTATTTGATAAAAAATCATCCGTTAATTAAATATTATTAGTATTTGTGTGGCTTTTCTTTTTCTTTTTCTTTTTCTTTTAACAGTTAATATTTAATGGTCAAAATCAAGCAATCATTCATCAAGATCATATAGTAAGAGTGCTAACATTCTCAACATCATTGATATTTTTAAATTTAACTCGTAATAGTAATTATTATATGAAAAATTAAATGTCGAGATGCTTACTTAAATTAGTACTAATGTTTTATCAAAGCGGGAAAACCGTATTATTTTTATGATTATTATTATAATAATGAAAACATTCAATCGAAATTAATATTGTATTACAATTAATTATATATTTTTTCTCGGCACTGATCATTCAAAACGCATTAATTATCTATATATAATTTTTCGCGAGTTAAAAAGGTTGATTGATTTAATTAGTGATCAACAGGATACATAACGAATGTAACATCACGCACATTGTTTGTAGGATAAACGCTTGGATATTATTGATTACTATTACATATATATAAAAAAATTATTACTATTATTTTTATCAAAACCGTTTTGCTCTATTTCATCTACTCCAATCGTGATTGGGGATTATAGATTCCAAAATCATGAAATAACTTATATGCTTGTTAAAATAAACTCATCGTCTCCTCGCAATTTTATATCCAACGCTGATTTAATTACTCATCAACGCATGAGTACCGGGCCATCGGTGTAAGATTTTAACCATAAACGGCTTAGCCGGTTGATTAACTAATATTTCAAAGTCTTGCTTATAAAGGAGTAAAGGCAGGTATTATAATTCATTTTGTAGGAAACAATTCTTTTCGTTTCGCTTAATAAAACACTTTTGTTGTCGGAAATTAAACAGTAATAGTAGGATTTAATTATCCGTTTGTTATCAGGGTGGTATAGAACCCTAAAGCGTGTAATTCGGTTTTGGTTATTTGCTTTAGTAAGGAAGTAAAGGTTTGGTTTTTGGTTCAGGTTTTTATTTAAGTGTAAAAGTTTTGTTTACGTTTTGTTAAAGAGTTAAGTGTTTAACTAAATATATAATGCCGAAGTTTATTAACTAAAGTCATTATCGCATTGTATTGTGTTAAAGCATTATTGTAAACATACGGATCTTAAACAAGCAGTCTTGTAAAGAGACAAAATTAACAAAGCTTTTATGCGATCAAAGTAAAGTAAAACTGAACAATGAAGGAACTTTAACAGAGTGCTTACGTAGCTTTCTATATAGGTACAAAAAAAGGACGTAAGCAGGAGAATTGCCAAATAAATTCGTGACAATTAATCGACAAAATTCATTCGAACTCAGTATTAATCAATATTTAAATTTTTAAAATGTCAAAAGTAAAAAATGCAGAATTAACAATAGTTTGAAAAGGTAAAACCTTGGGACTTAATTTCTATGAGGAGAATCTCCAAGTGCTAAAAATTCTACATTAAGTAGAAGGCCCAATTTTTAGTTCAAAAAATTTAAACGAAATATTAAATAAAAACAATCATATTTCTACTGATCAGCTAAAGAGAAACTCACAGAAGCAAGTGGCATTGAGGTTTCTAATAAATCAATTTGTAGGGACTTAACATTTATTCATGTGTTGGAGCTGTAAAACCCCTTTTACAGGAGTGTTAGGAAGTGTAAACGATGAATTCCGATTTACAATATTTTGACCAACTCATGTTTGGTGTAGAGATTATGATGTTGAAAATCTTTATCTTATTGGTAAAACATGGTGGTGGGCCTTAGCTAGCATAGAGTAGAAGATGAATCATAGGATTTAGAGGAAAATTTATTACCTTTAATTACAAATGAATTTAATAATCATGAGAAAAAAATTGTTTTCATAATCACCTGACCTCAACAAATGAGAACTGAATTGGAAGCTTGCTCTGATAGAGGAATGGTATAAATTCCATTAGAAAGGATAGGAACATGTATTTCTAACAATGGTGGCCAATTAGGCACTGAATTTTATTATTATTCAAAAAAGTATTTTTTTATTTTTTTCAATTGACTTGGATAAATAAAAAAATATAAATTTAAGCAACGTAAAATTTTATGTGTGATCGATCAAATATGTAAATTATAACATTTAAAAAATTTATCTACACTAGATATTAATACATATAAATTTATTTGAAATAGTAATACCAATTAATTTTCAATTATTTGAAATATTTCTAATTCATCATAGTTACTTTTTTGATTATGTCTTCTTATATTAATGTCATTATAAGAACTAATTCCATTAGCAAAAACAGTACTGTCTGGTGCAAAAAGAAGATCACAACCACAACCAAAAATAGCTAAATATGAATGATGACAGTAAATTGCATACTCATAACCATTGTTGACAACATAACTAAACTGTGCAGAATTAATGTCATTCCTATTATTAATGTTAAAAATAAAACTTTCAGTTGTATTTTTATATACATAATTTCCATTATTTAAATTCCAATTAAGTGGGTTATAACCTCCTATTAATTGATCTGAATTTTGTATTTTGCCAACTATAAGAGTTTTATTGATATTATCACATTTTTGATGAAAGGTAGCTACACTATTACCATCTCTACTACTACGATATATAAGTTTGAATTCATATTTAATGTCCTTTAATGAACTATATTGTGGACTTTTTCTATCAATCCAACTTGCAAAAAGTAAAATAAGATTTTGATTGATTGTTAATGATTCAAGTGTTGTTGACTTAATTCTTGATGGCAATAATTTTAAAACATGCTGTTGTGTATCAGGGACTAAATAATAAAGTAAAAGGTTATTCCAAAATAACTCTGGAAAAAGCTTTTGATATGGAAAAATTTTAGAGCAAAAATCCTCTTTAGAAATATCTTGGAATCTTATTAAGGGAATAAATTCTTTTAATGTGTTACCCATATCAACAAAATTTTGTGGTGACCAATTTTTAACTTCACTGTTATTGATTTCTGGATGTCTTGCTAATCCCCATTTAAAAATATTTTCCCAAATAATTATTTCATCAACTGAAAAATCATCTCTTTTAAGAACTTCCAATAGAATTGATTTTTCCAATGATTTAAATTCACTTGACTCAAATAATTGCTCACTATAATCACAAAATTTTTCTAAATAAGTATTTTTCAATTCCTTAACATTTTCGTTGGCATAAACCAATTGTAAAATTTTAACTGGATTTTCTTTTATGTAATTTTCATGATTTTTAATAAAGTATTTCATCATGTATTCATAAAGTGATTCAATTCCAAGCTGTTCTGCTGCAATTGTTAGTTCTAATACTTCAGCTCCAGAGTAATTTTCAAATTCAATTTTACATGTGTATAAGAATCTTTCAGCAATAAATAAATTATTAAATAAATTATCATTATTATTATATATTAATAATTAAATAAATAAATAATAATAAATGAATAATAAATTTATTTAAACCTACTTGAGAATAGGCTTGAAACATTTTTCACTAATATTAGCTTGCTTAACAATATAATAACCATTTTCTTTTACTGCATCACTTAATGCATTGCTAAAAAAATGAACAATGAGCAGATATGATAGATACATGTGCATGAACTTTAATGTTTGGCTCTGCACCAAGATATATTTTTACATCATAAAATTCTTTTGTATTTAACAATCTTTCATTTTCATTGAAATATTTTTCTAAAATTGTTGAATCCATTGAATTTATTTTTCCTAAAAAAATTAATTTTAAAAAATCATCAGATTTAAAAGTGTACAATTGATATTTTCTTTTGGGGAATATATTACAAATGATTTATAAGTGATAAATATACAATGTATTATACAATTAAATAGACATCACCTCTAAAAGCAGGAAACAAGAAGGGTTATAACAAATTACGCAAATAATAATCATTATCAATAATATGACTAAACTGTGCAGCATTAATATCATTCCTTTGCTAACATTAAATATGAAATTTTCAGTTATATGTATTTCTATTCCAATCAAGTGGGTTATAGTATCCAACCAATTGATTTTGACTTTG